TGTAGTTTAGTCTCTTTTAACAGAGCGACATGTGAATTTATAAAAACAGTAAATTTGTTTTCTCACCAGTCGCTTGTTTCTGATCCATATCACTGAGGAAGAGATAAAGAAACAGACGAACATTTAGTCAACAGCATTAAACAAAATGAAATAAAGCTAAACAAGGAGCAGGTGTATATGCGTCACATATTGCTTTGTCAGAGCTGCTCAGCACAAGCTTGTGCACAGCCCACAAAACACAACACAAATACCTCAGACGGCTTTAACAACCAGTACTCTGATGCATGGTAGAGAGTGAGCAGCTCACAGCTCAGCAGTACTCCGTACATACAAATGAAGTTTACAGAAGGACTAAAATCTGATCTGAAATCTGTTCAGGTTCATGATTACAGTCACACTTACAATTGCTAATCCTAGTGCAGATAGAGACCTGAAAGAAAGCAGAGAAGGAGTAATTAGTTAGATAATAATTAGTAATTATAAAACTGCATCATCATTTCACAGACGAACCGCAGCATTGATCCCTTATCCCTTAATATCACAATATCAGTGCACTCCCCAGGGATTGTGTGATAGTAAGTAAATGAATCTAGTCCTTACCTGGGAGGTGGAAACTTTAAGAAACTTCTGGATATCACGCCATGCAGTATCATTGCGTCTACACGTCAGGAGTCTACCGTCATAGAACAGACAGTCCACAGTGAGGCAGATGTTCGTGTTGTTCACCAGTCTTCTGCTTTCAGCTACAACATGGTCAGGATTGAAGGTGTGATGCATCACCACCAGAATTGCTGGTTTACCACCTGATAACAGAATCAAATGAGTCAGAAAGATGAAAGTGAGGGGAGATCAGTTTGTTTTTCACTCCATCTTTCTGAGAGCACGGGGGAAGGCCAGGCTGTGGTTTTCAGTCACATACATTTTTACACATTTCTTGCCATGTTTTTTTTATATAGGCTTAACTGGGTTGTGAATAAGTAAGTGATGGGGGGGTAAAAATAGTGGTGATACAGAATCAAATATATCTGATTGTTCACACACTGTGGTACAACAGCTCACCGGTGCACCAATACTTCTGGTCACATTACTGGGTCATCGTACTGCAAGTCCCCCCTCCCTACAAAATAAAAGTATTCTGATCGTCTTTAACATTGAGCAATCCTACCTGCCCACATTGCAGTTATGGGATAATCATGGCTGGCGCTTTACAGCCTCTTCTTTACTCAACGTTGCACCTTATATTCTGACATCTTGGCACTGTAGCCTAGGCTAACCAACCTGTCTTATAGACAAGTTTGCCAAGTTTGGATCATTTGGACACCTTTTTTCTGACCTTTTCAGCTCCCACTTCTCTCTTCTCTTTTTATTCTCTATATTTTTTTATGTCTTACTTGCATCTTCCACTAAGTGCCCTCAAACCATCTCTGGTACCTGCGTTGGTGCTCAATGTGGTCATAGTCAAAGGTCAAATGTATTTATATCATCAATCAAGTAATGACTTCAACTGTAACTGTAAACTATGTTCTGCTAGTGCAGCCCACATGATCTACTTATAAAATGATTGTGTTTACCATCCCTGCCACCATCCCTTGCGGTCCAACAATGAGCCCAGCCCACTGGGAATGCTCCTGTTTCTCCTGATTAGCCACTCGGGGGCCTGCAACTGCCTATTCACACATCTAGCTGATACAGAGCACCGTGATTTTGTCTATCTGCCGTTTGGTGATGGGCAGGTACCATCAGAGCGTGGTGAGGTGTGGTGAGAGTAAATCTAAACCGTAAATCTAAAATCTGTTCCCAGAAGCAGTGTCTTTCATACAAAAACTTTTTTCGACTGATTGATAAAATTTCCCTGTATTCCTTTGACTAATCAGTGTGAAATTGGCCAATGGCCGAAAGCATTTCCTACCTGGAAGTTTGTCCAGGGCCTCGCTGATGTCAGTTCCAACTCGTGACACGATAGGACAGACAACCAGAAGGTAGTTACTTTCTCCAAAAGAGTTCACTTGAGTTTGGCCAAAGCCTTTAAGCTTTGTAACAAGTTCTAGATGAGCCCCATTAGTTCTTCCCGCACAGAAGACAAAGAACTCTTTTAACGACACTAAAGAAAAGAAATGAAAAGAATGTTTGAGTCATTACAGCGCTGTAAAGATGCAGAATGTTCATGTTATTATAGCATTTTATAGTTTTTTATGTCAGAGGAGGTGTTTGGAGGTGGTGACTGTACAGACATACAGTGTGTTACTTCATGGTTAAAATCAACAGCATATGTCAGTTTATGAAGTACTAATTCTGTTGCAGAAATGTACTGTCTGACTCTTCAGTTACTAAATGCTCCGCTATGTTCTCCAGCTGGTTGCTAACTGTGTCTGTCTGCTCAACATACAGTGGGTCTATCAGAGCTGCTGAAACACAGAGGTGTGGGAGTGAACTAAAATAGTAAAGTTTATGACCAAAAAAGCCGAAACAATGAGCTGAAAGAAACTGAGTCAGCTGATTATTCTCTGTAGGTTTATCACTAGAATCAACCCCTCTCACATTACATGCTGTCAGTTAATCCTGTTACAATATAGAAATATAGGTTAGAGCAGCTTTCAGTGTTATCTATTGTACTGACTAATGTAGTTTATTCTCTTTAATATTGAGATATTGCAGTAAAAACAGTACATTTGTTTTCTCACCAGTTGCTACTTCATTGGCCATGTCTCTGCGGAAGAGATAAAGAAACAGGAACATTCAGTAACATTTACCAAGTAAAACAAAGCTAAACACGGAGGTGGTCACATATTGCTCTGTCATAGCTGCTCTGCACAAGCTTATGCTTAGCCCAGGAAGCACAGATAAAAATACCACCGATGTCTATAACCTACAGATGTATGGTAGAGAGCAGCAGATCACAAGCTCATATGGATTCATTACAAGCCATGCAGTACCTTTAATGCATGCCTACTTACGAAATAGACTGATGATTTGTTTGTAATGTCTCTCGCACATCTGTTCCACACTCGACAAGGAAAAGGACTGTAGCTCCTCCCCGTGAGTGAAGCACTTTCACTTTTGTTTTTGCAAGTAACATGAACTCAAGTTGACCACTAGAGGAAGTGCAGAGATGAGACATTAACTGTGTCAGTGTTTAACAAGAGATCAAATGTGAACACAGCAGGATAAAGGAGTAATTGCATGTAATTGCAACATATAAGTATTTTGTTGATGATTAGTTCATTATTAACTACAGACTTATATATGACTGTCATTATAAAGTATTACTTTTCTTGGCTGCATGCTTCATTGATGTCTCGCTCAAAGCTTAATCTTCATCCAAGTCACTCTGCAGCAGTTTTGTTTAGACATTTTTTCTTGATTTGATTGCATTCACCACCCCTGGATGACAGAGACTGTACTCCCCGTCGCGAAAAAACATTTAAATACCATTATCATGCCACCACAGTTTCTGTACATTACTTTTTGATAGTAATCCATCACATTTGATAATCTGGGATGCAACAAATTTACAAAGAAACACTTTGATTAATTTTGTTGATTTATTTTTCACACACATTTAAACATGTACATACCACAAAACTTCTAAAGCACAATTACTGGTGTCGTGAAGTAACTTTTGTTCCCCCGGTGTTACATTCTCATTAAATGACTTGATTGTAACATATGAACATACATTTACTATAAATAAGATTAATTTAAGGATTATTGAAAACCGTTGTTAATAATAATACCTGTGGCCGTTAAGTGAACTGCATCATCGAGTGAGCATCATCCTGGGCATTGGTCAAACATAAAATGAAAACTCAATGCTGGAAAATATGTTATAATCATATTTAGAATAATGTTACTATCTGCAGTGTTCCTATATTTTATTTTGACTATTTACTCAATGCTACCTTTGCAAATCACATCCTTCAGCCTACACCACAAAGCAACCAACACCATACCCACGCAACCAAACCACAGGCAACCCACCAACCGCAGCTGTTATCCATCATATTTTGATTCAGATAAAAAAGTGATCAAAAGCTTCAGCCCAAAAACATCATCAGCCTTCACAACTATACTTCAGTGACAACAAAAATAACACATTAGATTTTTGCAAATCATTACACATTCATTACATAGAACATTTACTTTGTCCTCTCAAGTCGAGTTATTGTTCGCTTTCCTTCCAACACCAAATATTGGGTAAAAGTTCACCGCAAATATCAGCAATAGGATTAAAAGAATAACTAAAAAAACAGCCAGCCACTGAAGGAAACACAAATCTAAAAGGAAGAAAAACAGATAAATCAGTCACCTGGTTTCATTTACAACTCAAACAACTCTGAAATGATTTTGCTCACATATTAGATTAATAATACCAACATCAATATCCCTTAATTCAAAGGAAATGAAAAAAGATAGACTTTAAAGTTCATGATTGCAGTCACACTTACTATCGTTGGTGTAATTCTTGAAGACTCGAGAGACCTAAAAGAAAAAGAGAAAGAAAAGAGTAAAGCAATAATAAATAATAATAACTACATCATGTTCATCATTTCAGAGTTAGACCAGAGTAATGATCCCTTTATCCCTTAAAATCACACTATCAGTGCACTCACATGCATGGATTGTGTAATTGTATTAGATCTGTAATCTCAATCTGTCATTACCTTGGGACCTTTTGGAAGACGCATCTGGACATCAGACCATGCATTATCATTGCGTTTACACTTCAGGAGTTTGTCCTTATGGAACAGACAGTCCACAGTGAAGTAGACGTTAGGATATTTTTCCACTTGTCTTTTGCTTTT